TCCATCGTAGCTGTAGGTGGGACCAGGAACTGTCGTTGGCTTCACTACTGTTTGTTCAGAACTGGTTTGAACCTATGGACGAGCTAGGTGCTGTGTCGCGTCGCCGATCACCGAATTGTCACTGCGCGTGCATGGAGTCTTGGTCAGGCGTAGGAAAGGAGCGTGGGAATCTTATTTCGAAATGGAGGCTCTTTGCAGCGTGCAGCTCTGTAATCTTCAGAAAACGTAATTGCGGCGGTCTAATCTACGAATTACCGAGCTTATTGGAGGTGGAGGGGTGTAATAGAAAGTCGCAGCCTCTTGACTGGCCCCTTAAGCATGGGTGCTGTGAACGGCTTAAACAGATGTGGGCAGTTGCGGCTTTAACATGACTGAAGCAGAAGCATTTCAAGACAAACTGATGGGTAGAATACGAATGGAAATTACTGCCTAATGAACATTTTGGCAGAGGCTCTCTTAACCCTGGCCAATATTAAAAGCGAAGCGTTTCTACGAGTACTAAACGCACTTCTAACATCTATCTATCTATCTATCTATCTATCTATCTATCTATCTATCTATCTATCTATCTATCTATCTATCTATTTATCTATCTATCTATCTATCTATCTAGCTATCTGTCTATCTATCTATCTGTCTATCTATCTATCTGTCTATCTATCGATTTATATATCTATCTACATGCCCACCCACCTACCTACCAATCTACCTACCTACCTACCTACCTACCTACCTACCTACCTACCTACCTACCTACCTACCTACCTACCTACCTACCTACCTACCTACCTACCTACCTACCTACCTACCTACCTACCTACCTACCCAGCCTGGGTGCTCTCGTACCTGCCGCGTTCAAAGCTTCAATTATTAACATACTGTTCAACCACTCCTCTCTGTAATGCCTGTAGAGCCTTCCGGTCCTGAGAGTATAAAAATAAATAAAAAAAGAAACCCCAGTAACTTGGGGTTAACCACAATTACTATTTGAAGGTAACTTGGCTTGCCAAGTACGAATCACTCGTCATCACATAAATAATGCCACAATTCCGTCGCATACGTCGTCAAACACTTTTCACCAAACAATGTCATACCACTGGCGAGTATGTGCTACTGCTATTGAGTTAGGTCTCTACGGTTAGAGGGTAAGATGTTTTGACGAATACGAATTGCTGCTCATGCCATGAATAATATTACAATCTCATCGCGTATGTCATAAAACCCTTTCCGCTAAACAGTGGCACACACCCACCCGTGGGTATGCGCCACAGGTGTGCTGGTTGGTTGGTTGGCCCCAGAGAAATAGTTCACCCACCACGGGGGATCGGTCATTGACACTTCAAATCTACACAGTACACAGGAAAGGCGAGAACATGCGTGGACATATTAAACGCGTGTGCGTTAAAGAAAGCCGGCAAGGGCCACGTTGATCCAACAAATGGGAAGGAAAAACGTCATGGTGCCAGCAGGAGTCAAACACCAGCATTCAGCGTACCAATCAAGCATTCTACCACTGAGCCAAGCAACGTCTCGCAACTGCTTTTAAATAGACCGTAATGTTCATGAAGATTCTGTCGGGGACGTAGTGTTGGCTATCCAACTTCACAAAAATTAACATTTATAAACAGTATATTCTTCCAAACATGGGTAGACGAAAATGAGTCCTGCTAGGTGAGATGGCTTGACAATTAGGACTGTGGTGATGACATGAATAATGTGATTATCCCGATAGATACGTCGCAAAAGTCTTACAAATCAGACACATGGGGCACACACGCGTATACAACGGCCCAATATATGTTTGTACGTGTCACAGGTGTTTACCAACTTATTCCTACCGAGGAACGGCAAGAACACACAGTGGCAACACAAACGCAACAGCGTCAGGAAAGCTGAGAGCGTCTGAGTCCACCAGGCGAATGCAAAAAATAAATATCATGCTCCCAGTAAAAACCGAACCCAAGCATTCTGTGCGGCAATCAAGCATTCTACCACTGAGCCACGCCTTGTCTCGGAGCAGGCGTAATGTAGCTGAAGCATCAGTTTCGGTTACTGTGCGCCCTATTTCATTTATTCATTTATTTATTTACAAATTAATTAGCACGAAGGGCAAGAACAGTGACAAAACGTCGAGTTAACAGAATGCAGACACACATTCGTATTGTTATGGCGTTTATTAGCAGGCACACAGCGAGTATACACAATGGCGACAGCAACGGCTAAGCACGGACTCTCAGCGCAAGCGGCGACCTTTTTGGCTAGACCCACTAGAAAACACTTGAGAGTTTGACCCACTTCAGTGTTCGGCGGCTTCTCTACAATTACCCCGGGGTCGAAGAAAGAGCCGCCTGGCGACCTAACAGCTTGTCACTACGAGCGGGTCATAGTAAGCCTTCAGGCGCTCCACGTTGACTATGTCGCGCCCGTGACGGCACATGTCCGAAGATTGTTCAATTGGCTCGACAAGATAGTTGACTGGAAATGTGCGCTCGATCACACGGTAGGGACCTTCATATTTCGGGAGTAGTTTGGAAGAAAGGTCAGCTACAAAGGTCGGGATTGAGAGTCATACAAGGGAACCAGGAAGGAACGTGGGTTCAGATGTGGCGGAGCCATCACAAATACTCTTCTGCTGTTCTTGCTGATTCGTCGTAAACGTCTTGGCCAGCTCGCGACACTCTTCAGCAAGCCTAACTGTCTCGGAATTAGGTGCACACTCAGATGGATACGGCGTGTACGGGAGTATCGTGTCGATGGTGTGTGACGGGTGCCTTCCATACAGCAAGAAGAAAGGTGAAAAATCGGTCGTGCTCTGAGGGGTGGTGTTGTAGGCGTAGGTGACGAAGGGCAGTATAGTATCCCAATTCGTGTGGTTGGCGGTGACGTACATCGAAAGCATGTCGCCGAGGTTGCGGTAAAGCGTTCGGTCAGGCCATTCGTCTGCGGGTGGTAAGCAGTTGTTTTGCGGTGGACAGAATGGCACTCCGTGAGAATGGCTTCGACGACTTCTGACAAGAAGACACGGCCTTGATCGCTGAGAAGCTCCTGAGGTGGACCGTGGCGCAGTATGAATCGATGCAGTAGGAAAGACGCAACATCACGCGCAGCAGCCGCAGAGATAGCGGCGGTTTCGGCGCATCGCGTTAAATGATCTACGGCGACGATGGCCCAGCGGTTACCAGCCGAAGCAGAGGAAGTGGTCCATACAAATCGATATCTATGCGCCTAAACGGACGCTCAGGGCAAGGTAACGGTTGCAGACTGGTTGGCGACATGTGTGCTGACGGTTTGCGGCGTTGGCAAGCGAGGCAGGAGGGAACGAACTGCTGCACGTAGCGGTACATCCCGCGCCAGAAGTAGCATTGTCGAATGCGATGGTAGGTTTTTAATACCCCAGAGTGCGCGCATTGCGGATCAGACTGGAAGGATTCACATATCTCTGACCGCAGACTGCGGGGTGTCCCGAGTAACCACTGCCGGTCATCGGCGTCGTAATATTGTCGGTGTAGAAGGCCACCACGGAAGGCGAAATGGCGAGCTTGACGACGCAAGGCAAGCGTGGAAGGCGTTGCGGATGAATCAGAGAGCAAGTCGATGAGTGGGCCAATCCAATTATCCTTTCGCTGTTTGGTAGCGATGATGTCAGCATCAATGGCAGAAACAGCAGCCGAGGATACTGAGCAGAGCACATCACCTTCAGGCAGAGGGAAGCGTGAGAGGGCGTCGGCGTCAGCGTGCTGGCGTCCGTTGCGATACAGCACGCGGATGTCGTAGTTTTGTAAGCGAAGAGCCCAACGGGCGAGACGGCCTGAGGGATCCTTCAATGATGAAAACCAGCATAGTGCATGATGATCGGTGACGACATCGAATGGGCGACCATACAAATAAGGTCGAAACTTTGTAAAGGCCCAGACGATCGCCAGGCACTCTTTCTCCGTGACGGTGTAGATTGTCTTGGCTCTCGTGAGCGTACGGCTTGCATTAGGTATACGACATATTCAGGGAATCCGGGTTTGCGCTGCGCCAGGACAGCGCCGAGGCCTACACCGCTGGCGTCTGTGTGCACCTCCGTCGGGGCCGTAGGGTCGTAGTGGCATAGAATGGGAGGAGACGTCAGCAAATGGCGGAGCTTCGCGAACGCGTCGTCGCACTCAGACGACCACGAATTGAGGGGCCCGTTACTTCCAAGGAGCTTCGTCAGCGGTGATATAATCGTAGAAAAATTTCGTATGAAGCATCGGAAGTATAAGCACAGGCCTACGAAACTACGCGGTTCTTTGACGGACGCAGGTTTGGGGAATTCAGCCACGGCCCGAAGCTTGGCTGGGTCAGGAAGAATGCCATCCTTAGACACGACGTACCCTAGGATGGTGAGTTGCCGTGCTGCAAAGCGGCACTTCTTCAGATTTAGTTGCAAGCCGGCATTGCTCACACGTGCGAAAACTTCTTTCAGACGTTGGAGATGCGTGGAGAAATCTGGGGCGAACACAACAACGTCGTCGAGGTAACACAAGCACGTGTGCCATTTCAAGTTGCGCAGAACGGTGTCCATCATGCGCTCAAAGGTCGCAGGTGCATTACATAGACCAAACGGCATGACGTTGAATTCGTACAAGCCGTCGGGTGTGATGAACGCAGGCTTCGGTCGAGCGTCATCAGCCATGGGTACTTGCCAGTACCCCGAGCGCAGATCGAGAGAAGAAAATTGAGAGAGTGCTACAATCCCCTTCCATGCCCTTGGAACTGCGCTCACTTACCCCACACCTCCACAAATTTGTTATGGCGTTGATTAGCAGACACACAGCGAGTATACACAATGGCGACAGTAACAGCCAAGCACGGACTCTCAGCGCGAGTGGCGTTCTTTTTGGGTAGACCCACTAGAGAACACTTGAGAGTTTGACCCGCTTCAGTGTTCGGCGGCTTCTCTAGAGTATATATATATATATATATATATATATATATATATATATATATATATATATATTGTGAGCGCTGACTATGCACTTCATCTACCTCCTGTGATTTGGTCAGGGCATAACCAATGTCTATGGAGAACATGACGATCGTTGGTGTCATCGTGGACATGGCGTTGCTAAAGCAGTAGCGGTAGGCTCTATCAGCATAGGCAGCAAAAAATATGTATTTCCCACTGGACTCGCGTTCCCCGGAGTAAAGCAGTTTGCCATCAAGTCCAGTGATCTTCACGTCGATGTCCAGGAAGCCGCCTTCGGTGACTTCGAACGTGAGACCCATCTTGCTGCCGGACTTCGCCTTGCCGTGGAAGCACTTCTCAGCGTGTGCATCTACGGTGATGAACAGGGCGTGGGTGTAGGCGATGCACAACACCAATGCGACTGTCCTTAGCGCTATGTACATTGAATACATGATTTCCCATTGTTCTTAGTGCGTGTGCGCGAAAACTTTGAAGCGGAAAAGAAGTAAATGGGTGATGCACTTTGTTAGCAAGTGAAGTGCGGCACATTGACAAAAAAAACTTGCTACACAAAATGTGACCCAAAAAAAGGTGTCGTATGTGAAAAACATCGACTTCATCGTGGAGTGTTTGTAAGCAGGGCAAGTTTTTTTTTTGCCGTACCTGAAGTACTGCATCTATTGTCGAATTCCTGCTGAGGGTCTCAAGCCTGACCCTCAGCTTTTTCTGGAGAAGTGTTGGACAGAGCGAGCTAAATTCTTGGGGCGTGGCATTTTAAGTGCCTCTGTAGAAGAAGCGCCGAAAAGGACCCTTTTTGTTGAACAGAAAAGAAGGCACAAAAACTACTTACATATGCCATTGTGTGTAGTGGTTTTTTCATACAGATGAAGACGAAGTTCATAGTCAGCACTCACTATATATATATATATATATATATATATATATATATATATATATATATATATATATATATATATATATATATATAGAAGAGAAGAAACACAACTTAGCGGTTGTTTTACTTTTATTACCATCGATTTCGACCATGGTGGACCAGTCTTCGTCAGGGTTTGCGAACAAGTGCGACGCTATGTGAACATGCCGCATCGGCATGGTGGTGTAAGAAGAAAACGGGAGAGAGCGACAAATTAGTGGTGTTTTACAGTGGTGACATATGCTTTGCCGAACAGTTATCTTTGTCTGTCTCATTCGCTAGAGCAAACCAAAAATAACAAAAATAAAAATTTTCGGCAGAAACAATCTTTCTACTGTCGGAGAACACTGCGAATCCAGAATGGTCCTCGTCGGGCCGTTGCATTAAAGGAGGGTCTTTTACAGTTCGCCGGACCCCGACCCCCAGAAGTCGCCGTTCCTAGTTTACCCTACGAGGACTTGGGGACCTTTCCTGAAAGGAGCGAAAGATGATGAGGGCAAACTGGGTTCGATAGACCAGCGAGGCGATGATGATCTCGACTGGTGGTGCTGAATAGTCGAAGGAGTTCGCTGGCCCGTGAGATAAGCTTTGATTTCGCGGGAGCATCCACGGTGGCGTGGGCATCGAACATCAGGATGGAAGCCGCGGAGACCTAGTTGCCGGTATTGACAGTTCCAGTATACGGGACCCGCTTCGCTGCAGTGATAGCAGAGCGGACGGTTATTCGAGGTGCGCCACGTGCTTGCCTTGCTACCACTTTGTCTTGAGGCAGACGGCAGATGGGATGGTGTGTTCGGAAACCTTGAGCCGAGAGGTGGGCTCGAAGCTGTCTCCTGGATTGGTTGCATAGCCTGGTACAATGGCTGCATAGCAGGATCTGTAGCCGGTGGCGCAGGGCATGGCGAATCCGCTGCATATGTCAGGACTGGGGCCTAGGGAATCGGTGGTCTGATTGGGGCCAGGGGAGTGACGGCCTGCTGGACGTTTTGTCTGATTCAGATTACATATGCGAGGGCTGACACAGGTGTATGGGTTCTCACTGCCTGAAGCTGTCGCAATTTGTCCCAAACGATACTTCGAATGATATCTGCAAGGGCCTGTCTCTTGCTGTCAGAGCCGATAGAGCATGCGGTGGCCGCGCTTTGGCGTTTGTACTGTGACGACTGCTGCTGCAGAGTAGGTTCCATCGAGGGTGCCTCACTGATGAACTCGGCGAGTGTCGTCGGTGGATTGCGCATGAGCCCAGCGAAAAGCTGTTCTTTTACTCAGCGCATCAAATGCCGCACCTCTTTTCCTCCGCCATGGCAGGGTTCGCGCGCCTGAAGAGCTGAAGCATGTCTTTGACAAACGTTCGTTCAGCCGCTAGTTTCTGCAGGATATGGCTTGTTCAGCCATCTCCTTCCTCTAGGTGTTGCGATAGGCGTTACGGAGCTGTCGGGTAAACTCTTGCCAGGTTGCAAAGGAGCCCTCGTGTTCTCGTACCACGTCTTCGCAGAATGCTTCCAGTAAAAACAAACTCGGCACAACTTGCGAACATCGTCCCATTTGTTGATACAGGCAAGCCGATCAAAGTGGTCAAGCCAGTCATCAACATCCTCGAAGATGTCTCTAAGGAACGGCTTTGGTGTCTGTTGCGCATGAAAAACATGCTTGAGAAGAGAAGAAAACCATGGGCATCGCTGGTTTGGACCACCTCGCTTGTCTTTGGAGTTGCCATCTTTCTGGATGTAGATTCCAAGGAACCAAATTCATGGGGTAACCCACGCAGGCGGTGGCTGCTTTTTGCTCTGGGAGATGTAGCTGTCTCCAAGATGGCCGACACAGCCGAAGCACACGTACCCAGCGTCTCCACCAGTTGTGCAACGAGCAAAACAACACCTACAGCCTGGAATTCACCTGAACCAGAACAGAGACGATGAAGATGATGGTGATGATGATGACGATGATGATGACGATGATGATAATGATGAGCCATGGCTTGTACCCTGAGTGGGTACAAGCCAGGGTACTCAGGGTACAAGCCCACTCAGAGGATCGGCCAAGAATCGATGACTTAATTTAGTAAGATTTTTTTATATTCAATATGGAAATCACCCACCAGAGAAAAAAAAGAAAAAAAGACAAGACACCTTAGGCAGAATGAAAGAGTGCAACAATTGTTTTTGACTTGTTCAGATCAAACAATCATTCATTATGTTGACCAGAAATTAGCGTGGTAAACAAAGCTCCTGTTTATGTTGAAATATTTTTGCAGGAATAATAAGCCCGCAATTAAAAGCCTAATTCTTTTACTTTCATAAAGGCACTTGCAAAGTGCTTATAAAACAAGCTCAGATCGGAAGTACCAAAGAAAAGTATATTTCCTATTGTGAAGTTCAGCCCCAGGCTAGCGAATGGGAGGACTGAAAGTCTTCTGAGCAATTTGTATCCCCGACATGATAAAAACTAGTGCTCTATTGTTTCTGATTCTGAACAAAAGTTGCATAGCGTGATATCGCCAGACCAGCCCTGTGTGAATAGAAATATAACGGGGGGAGACGACATCGAAATCGGGTTACTATGGCTTACAACTGCCTTTTTGGTCACCATTGAACTTTACACGGAAATCTTAAGTGAGTAAATTCTGGGTTTGACATTATTGCTTCCATAGCCTCTGTACGTAGCGAAAGTTTTCTGTATCTTGTCGCAGTTATAGTGGCCACTTCAGGAAGGACTGACAGTATTGGCCCTTCCAATGCTGCTCGTGCTAAAGAGCCGGCGATTTTATTTACTTCTAAGCCGCAATGACAAGGTACCCGTACTGATTTTAGTAGCAACAAAAATATTCTTTTCTTCTTCTCAGTCCCAAAATGAGTATGAGTCACAACGGCTCACTCATCAACGGTGGCTATTTTTTGGCCGAATATCTACAGCAACTGAAACTGAAGTATAAAAATCATACAAACTAGTTCAATGTCATATCCCAAAAAAATATATCCACCTACATTCATGTACAAGATTTATATCTCCAATACTCAAGCATAAGCATATTAAGCTCAAGCCTAATAAGCTATGCGACTCCTCTTTGTCACTTCCATGCATATCCGAAGTATTCATTTATCAAACTCACCTATAGATGTGAGCGTACTGTATTAAAAAGACACAAGGAATGGGAATGCTTTGCGGGATGGCGAATAGAGAATTACAGCACAGTTTCTCTTGCAGCGTTCACGGCTTTCTTGTTTATGATGCCTCTCCTTCAATAAAAAAAATAAGCCAGTGCTTCAAGGTGGAGATGTGGAGGGCATATACAGAGGGAAACGGCGACTGTTAGAGGACGAAGTTTCTTCCTAGTGCTAGCAAAGTGGTCAAGTCACTGATGCGTTTTTCACTATTGAAAACTCCTCTTACTCTTTTCTCTCTATCGTTTGCACCGAGTTTCTCTTCCCAAGCAGATGGCAGCAAAATGGAGCCTTCTGATGGTTAACCTTTCTGTCTTTATATATTCTCTCTCGCACTCTTCTTTCAAGAGCCTTGACCTTCAGCCACAGAAGTTCCTCAGTGATGCCCGATTCGAAATATCTCCAGTCAGGAATGCGTACCTGCAATATCGTGCCTTTTCCGGCAACGTACCGCAAATATCATGCACATTAACTATACAGACACGACACCTTGCTTTTTCCACTTTGCTCAGAGCATTCATGACACCGTAGTTTGACGTGCTGTGGTAGATTTAGCTTATGATGCAGTCCGTACGGTTCACCGCGAAGTACAAGTGGACTTCTGCTATACATTTAGCAAGGGTTCTGCGGTTTCCACAGGTAGTAATTTTCATAATCAAATATTCTCCGTATACAAAAAAAACTACGTCGTGGATTCATAACGACGCTGGCATGCGGAGACCGCAGCGCAGAAAAAAATTCTACCTTATTGTTTTCTGCTGCGGAATACTGGCAAAATGCGGATGCCGCAAAGTTGTCGCCATTCGGGGTGTTCCTGACGTGCAGAGCATTCACAGAGACTATGCGCTCTTTACAATGACGCTGGAATGCTGTCATGGATATACAAAAAAAAAGCCTGAGAGAATTCTCCCCGTAGGTCTGCCGATATGGTACAGCGGAAACAAAAGTGGTAAAGTTTTACGATGCCTAATTATACGCATTTTTATATCATACCGATATATATGTGTGAAAGAAAACTAAGAACAGATTGAACATTCGTGGTTACGTATTGAAGTGAGGGCCACGATTGCTTGTTCTTTTTTACTTCGCATGTGAAGTTCACAAAAGCTGTCTTTTTTCCTTTACTTAAGTGTGTTTGACCAGATAAATAACACCAAAAGCTTTTAGAAAGCGTCGTTTGCTGATGCGGTAGCAAGGTTTCTGAATGTTTACAGAAAAAGCGTTTTTCTTAGTATAGTCAAAAATATCAGAAAAGGCACCGATTCTGAGCATCGCACATACTTCTTAACATTTGCCGTTAACACCAGGAATGAATATGTTGATGTGGTAAAGAGAATTCTGTCAGACAAATGCAGGT